GAAGGCATGCTGCACTTATAGATCATGCATGAAAATAACATTAAGTCACAACGAGCAACAGATTTTTTTAGCACAGTGTTTCTGGAAAGGAATAACAGATTTTTGAGGTGCTTAATTAATGTATTCATGTTGTATCATGTTCAAACAAGTCTTAGTATGCCTGTAAATTCCTCTACAACTCACAAGAATGGTAAATATGGTTTACTTTTTTCACAGACCATTCAGTTTCAGAAGGTGCAAACTTCTTCCTAGGTCTGGAGTCACAGATTTTGTCTTTGTCAAATGTCTTTCTGCATACGAATACTAAATGAATCTGCCTCAGCCCACCAAATTGATCAAAGAGAGCCCTCTATAAAGTTGTTCTGCTTTATCCTGCAGTATTGTTTAGCCATCTTCAGCTCTCAGTAAGGTTGATGTACGCGTAAATGAAAAGCCCTCTGCTATGTAAATAATTTTTAACCTGTGGTGCATGTTTGAGCAAACAGATAATGACTTCAGCACATTTATTGCATCAAATATGTACCACAATAAGTGTAGTGTGCAAGCATTCAACAGGTAAAATTACGTATTATCTACCATTATAGATAGTTTGGATGCAATCAGTGCATGTTTATATTGCCTATGCTGCTATTCCTTTGACTGTCCAGGATTCTTAAACATGGGAAGCCATACATCAGAGCTAAATTAAATAAACTACTCAAAAAGACCTCATTTCTCCATACCATTAAGCAATATTTTGCAACTATTTAGGAGCTTTTTTGTTTTACATTTCTGAATTTTCAGTGAAAAGCATATAGTGTATATCCAAACTGTACAGACATTGAAAACTAGTAAACCTGTTGAAAATAATGTTAGGATTTTATAAGCAAATATAAATACTGTAAAAATCATTTTATTTTATTTTTCAGCATTATGTACATAAAACAAGAACTGAATTTTCTCTTCAGGCTGATATCACACCATTTTTGTTACTTTCTGTCCATAGCGCTTTTTCACAGAAGAGCTCCAGAGAACAAGATATAACTGAGTGAATGGATAACTGTAGGTTCTTATTTTTTACAGTATTTGCCAACATATCAATAATTTCTGCGAAATAAGTTCATAATTTGCTTCTAAAAAGCTATATTTTTTGGGTTTCTTTGTTCAGTTGGGAAATGGTCTAAAGTTCAAACTGAATGTCTTAGCAGTGCCTGCATCATAAGTTTTCAGATACAACCTTTCTTTCAGAGAATCCTGAATCTTCTCTCATATTTACTCACAGATTTATTTTTTTTTTCATTCACACTGCACTAGAACAGTTCTAAATGTTATCTAGGGTCCACAATATTTTTTCACAAAGAGAAAGTAGCAAAATTGTATAATCCAACCCATCAGGACATTTTATGTTTCTTACACAGGAAAAGTAAATATAGATTACTTTTATTAAAATTATTGACTAAATCTGTATTAGTGAACTGCATGCAGGAAAATGCTATTACCCTAACTGATGCTAAAGAACATTATTAATGCGTCAAAATAATAAAGATTACATTTTTTATTGTACATTCCTTTGTTGTTTATTATCTGACATTAATATAAAAAGTGTATGCTTCTAAAGCACAGAAGGAGAAGGCACTAAAAAACCTTTACAGCCAGCTGTGCTGTTCTCCCATGTAAGAAAATCCTTGGGACTTGCTTCTTAGTCACTAATTAGGAAGGTGCTCATTTATTGTGTGTTATTTAATTTAATTTAATGTGTGTTAGGCAGTGAGCATGATGCTTCTGTATGTATAGATATTTCTGCCTGACTTCATGCAGCAGCTCCATGCAGTGGGGAGCACAGCCACCAAATACCAGAGCTATCCTGAGTGTGTCCCAGGAGGCTCAGAGCAGATACAGGAATGAGAACTGAGCATTCAAGGGTTTACAAAGACAAAATGAGGAGAGAAAAAAGTACTAGATCTATGACATTCCCCAGGCTGGACTGAGAGCCAGTTTATTTTTGCTGTTCACAAACAGGCCACAGAGCATCTCACATTTGAGTGTATTTCTGAAAAAGGTGAAATGGTGTTGGAATGAATAAATAATTGGTCTTTTCCTCAGTAATGTTAAAAATCTCTCTGGAAGCACCCCATTCCTAGAAGAAACCATCTGTGGATACCAATAGGGAAAAAAAAAAAAAAAAGCATCTGGAAAGTGGGCCTGTTCCTTATTCTTCATCAATTGCTTCAGTGAATTTCTAAAAATATTAATTTTACATGTCCACAGAATTTTATATTGCATTCCCCTACAACTTACAATGAAAGCACTCACAGGTGAATACCGAAATTAATACTAAACGAGTTGATAAACCATTGCTGTCTGTATGTTTGCTTAGTGGCTAATGCAGAAATAAAATTTCATAGCATTTTCCCTTAAATTCATAAAAAAATTTTCAAGGGAGGGAAATTTTTCTCTGTAGAATTGTTGTGAAATACATTATGAAGAAAAGAGGTCTACAACTTTGATTCAAAATGCCTAAGTATCAAAATGAAAAGATAAGTATTTTCAGATTAATATGTGGAGAAAATATGTCTTAAAGAGCTATCTAAAAAAAAAAAAAAAGCATGTAAACCCCCAACTTGTTTCTCATACCTCTGTTAGGTACAGAAGCCTAAATGTTGTTTCAGAACCAGTCAAGCAGAACTTAAATCTAGCTGGAAAGTCAGAGGACTGTCTTGGCCAATAAGGAAACCCAAGCATGCTGACTGCATCGTGCCTCTTTGGCACCTTGCTGATGCTGGGCTGAGAGGTGTGTGACAAAGGAGCGCTATGTGTAAGGACTTGCTAGGGAAGGTCCCTCTGGGCACTCTCTGCCAGAAGAGCCAAGCAGCTTCTACAAATTTCGTGCGGGTGGACTTCTGCTCCTTGCTCTTGGTGGCATCACTGCCAGCTGTGGATGGACTGCACTCCCATACCAAAGGAATGCTCTTTAGCAACCTTTATTTCTGGTGTCTAGAAATTATGGCTGAGGATGCTTTCACCTCCACAAGAAAGCCTAAATTTTACTAATCTTTGCAACTCTAATTCTCCAGGAGGAAAGAAAGGGTAGGGGGAAAGAAGACGATTCTCTATCTGACGTGACCCTACTGCTATCGTATTTCAAAGTAAAGTGTCACATAACTTGAAGTGCTCAGCACATTAGGAAACGTATGGAACGTGGCCCACTCAAGCACGGTACGTTCAACCCCGAAGAGCAAGGGAACAGGCGCATTCCCAAAGCTGCCAC